GGTGGTCGCCAACCTTTTTAGTCTGTGGATAAAAACTTAAATTGCATTGAAATCATTCAAAGTAAAACAACCCTTGAATTTTATTTGGAGTAACTAATATTATATTTTGATATTTTCAACATAATTACACATACGTACCCTGTTGCGGTTAGCACTTGTTATAGGAGAGCGATGGTTGCTAAGATACAAAATATGTTTCCAACTTGTTTATAGTTTGTGTTAAATGATTCCTTTGCATCACTCTTCAAGTCGAGTATTTGAGAATTTATATTTAGAATGTATAAAAAAGGCAAGACTATTACCGTCTAGCTGTCATTTCCTGCCTGAAATTAAAGCAGGGCGGGAGGAACTGACTAGATTGTTTCCTCTCATTTCGCCGCAATTACTCCTGGAAATTTAATTACAATTGACAAATCTCTCTGACGATTGAATATATACAAAGGTGTAACCGTTACGGTTAATTACTATTCTAGGTAAATTTTGTGGATGAAAATCATCCTTCCGACAAAAACTAACAAAACAGAAACACAGCTTCAATTTCTTTTGCTCTTGATAATTCAAGTAAATCTTCGGGTGTTAATAAAAAAAAAAAGCTGTTAACAATAATTTTAAACAGCCCTATTTGTCATGTTGCACAAGTTCTTACAGTGGAAAATGTGAAAGAAATTTCAAGTGTTCACATGACTCTAATGTGAAAGCCGGCTGTATTACGCGGGACACTAAGGCCTGTTTCAAACGTCCTGCTACTACCGTGCCGAACTCAGTTGATCGAATTAAATTCAACTTTAGCACGGCAGTAGCGCGACGTTTGAAACCAAGTCGAGCTACTGCCGTGTAGCACGGCAAGGCGTGCCGACGTGTTTCAAACGTCGTGCTACCGCCGTGCCGAACTCAATTCATAAATGATAAATACATTAGAATACATTTAAAATTTTGCTGAACCGTTTCTTTATTATTGTGTGTTGTTTCCGGCAACAGCCGTTCTATTCGACTGAATTAAATTCGACGTCTGAAACCAAGTCGTGCTAGTGTCGTGCTGCAGTCGAGCCAGCTAAGCACGGCAGTAGCACGACGTTTGAAACAGGCCTAAGGCCTCTTTGCTCCTGTCCGCTCAACAACTTCACTCGATCCGAATGAATTCGAATAATGGAGGTTTGTTTGGTGGTTATAACTTTTAGGTCTGGGGAAGAAATCCTGAGCTGTGACCAATCATATAAACTGACAGTAAACTGACTCTTCAGCAGTACTTTCACATAGTTCTATCTATTTAGTGTTGCTCCGACTTTTTAAGTCGGTGGATGAAATTCTGCGGTGTGACAGCAAGTGGAACCTCTCCAAAACGGCCACGTTGGGGACAGAAAAAAGTGACCCTTGTAGGGAGGTATCTATGGACTGGCCGCCAAAAACGTGACCGTTGTAGAGAGGTGATCGTTAGTGGAGGTTCCACTGTATGTAGTGCTTTCGCATGATATTGTCTGTTTTTCAAGTTGGCAACCCTACGCTTTACTGCTAGATTGGACTAAGTTATGGCGGAATTATCTGCCTCTGTAAGCCTAAAATCTATGGACAAAATCATGACTGAGGTGTTTCCACTCGAACATCTTTAGTAGAACTTTTGTATTGTACTATCCTGTTACTAGGATTTTAGGAAAAAGAAAATGTGTGAATTTTTTCTTTGGCCTCAGTCAGGGGTGAATTTGCAACAACAACAAAAATTGGATTTTTGCATTCTTGGGCGCGAGTGTGTTAAAAGGTAAAAGAATTTAAACTATTTTTGCTGTTCTCTGCTGCGAGCAAACAAGTGAATGATTTTCACAATATACCAATTAGTAGCTTTAGTTATAGTTTTGCAAATTCTTCCCAAAATTTTGTTTGCCCGTTGCGGCAACTTAAGCAAAAAAACCCTAAACAAATACGGCCTGGTTGATGAGTTAAATGGAGATGGCGCGCGCCCTTGCCAAACCGCAAAAGCGGGTCTAACGAGACACCAACAGGCTCTAGTCAGAGAGAAAAGTAAATATATCTCTTTTTTAAGATACTAAGCTCTTAAGCTATAATTTTAAGGGTCACATAATTGTCCTTCCATTGGAAAACAGACAATGATGACGGCTTCAATTGTACTCTTTTGCTTCGCTAGCCACTCCTAAATAGGTTTTATTCGCTAAAGGACTACAACAAGACATTACTGAGGCTTAGCTAATAGAACGGAGGACTTAAACACAATTTCTGCAATTGAAAGCACTCTGTTAAGTGTAATAAAAGAAGAATAAACAGAGAGAGAAATTACTATTTTCAATTTAGTAGCACTTAAATAATAAAAAAAAAAAACGGACGTAGTAGCTTGATACTAGTTATTGCTCAAGAAGGCAACTGATTATCCTGAAGACTCTTGAAGTGTTGAGAGCACCTATGTGACTTTTCTCGTAAATGTTACCCTGAAGAACTTTTTAATAAAGCCAAAATGTTTAGAGCTATTAACCCCCTCCATATTAAATATTTGAAACCAATGAGAAAATGAAAAAGACCTTATAGACGATGATTCCTGAATACATCATCAGAAATATTTCATGAGTACGAGGTCAGGAGTGCGGTTATTCGAAAGTAGAGTAAACAAGCGCATTACCCCCCAAAACGATAGGGGTTATTCAAATTATCTGAACAGCTGTGAACTAGCTGCTAAAGTAGCTGGTAAGCTAGTCGAAGTTCTTTTTTAAAACTTAACACTAATGACTTTTTCAGACTTTTTACGCTATTTAAGTTTTAAGTTAAGTCACTGAAGCTAGCATTAAAAAAGACAGTACCAAAATACTCTCTGAGTCACTGAATTTTTAGTTTGTTATATAGTGGCCATCTGTTAAGCTTTCACACTAAATTTGTGCAAATTATTTAAAACAAAATCTCCACAGATTCAAAGCTTTGGTTGATTAAATCGGTAAAACAGTAAACTGGCATGCATTGTGCAGTTCTGTTGAGGAATAAACCAAGAAGACCTTTAGTATATTCTATAATCTGTTTTGTTAGCAAGAGGAAGAAAACTCTTCTTTCAAGTAATGGACAGTTATCTCAAGTTTATCAATTTCCTTTTGTAAGTATCTTTAAACAGAACGTTCTCTTGTATTGTATGAAGCTGTGAAAAAACGCTTCTACCTTTTGAGTCTGAGAATGAAATCCTAAAGTGTGACCCAACTAACAGATCATTGCCGTGCCTTGCTGTGGAGCTGTTTATTATGCTGTAACGTCGGTTACTTTATCAGAGTTTATGGATGAAGTATTTAATTAATTACACCATTAATTATTCAAAAGAAAGCTATACATTCTAGAAGTTTTATATGCTAGACGTGGTTGTTTTAATTTCCGAAGTGGACACTCATTCGAAGCTACAGCGCCATTATTCCTTGCCACGTGTGACTCTCTGAATTTTCCGCCTGTTAATGAAATCTTAAAGAGCGTCCATTAAGTGAACGTCGTAATGATCAATACTAACTTGCGATAGTGTTTATAAACCCTTTAAAGTGGTGATATTTTGTTTTGTTTTCTAGAGGTACAATGTGGTCTGTAGATGACAACCCAAGGTGGGGCCTTTTACATGTTTCTTACTAAGCAATTTTAAATGCTATACGAAAGTACTGTTCTTTCCACGAGAATTTTTTAATATATATATTTTTTTAAATGCAACTTGTCATATATTTTGTGTTGAATCGTGCACTCGAAGATGAACCAGAAAAACCTGGCTTAGGAACTACGCAAACTAAATTCAAAGCTGTGTTGTGTTGAGACCTCTTTTAATTCCCGAGATGGTGTCAATATTGGTATGATGTAATAGAAAGCTTTAACCTTTCTTCCTCCCTCGTATTTGAACAGAATTAAGATAGCCATTTATTTTTGAATTTGGAACTGATCTCTTTTATTTATGTTTAAAGATAGGAATTCACTCATCCTCGCCTATGAGGGATAGAGATAGGAACTGACTCATCTCCCGTCGCGCATGGGAGAGATCGAGATCCGGTTCGTTTACAACCACAAACCACAAGGTTCCTGGATAAGAAAAGGTTTCTTGATGAATACGTGAGAAACCTATGTGAAAAGGAAAGGTGGTAGAAATTTTCCAACTGTTGTACCAGCCAACTATTCTTGGCGATGATAAGGCTAACGTTTCTTTGACAAAATGTCTTNAATTCACTCATCCTCGCCTATGAGGGATAGAGATAGGAACTGACTCATCTCCCGTCGCGCATGGGAGAGATCGAGATCCGGTTCGTTTACAACCACAAACCACAAGGTTCCTGGATAAGAAAAGGTTTCTTGATGAATACGTGAGAAACCTATGTGAAAAGGAAAGGTGGTAGAAATTTTCCAACTGTTGTACCAGCCAACTATTCTTGGCGATGATAAGGCTAACGTTTCTTTGACAAAATGTCTTACTTAATCTTACTACGCAAAGCCCTCAGAAACCATGACTTGGACTCACGTATACCAAATGACTTCCCAAAAATGTTTTGCGACACAATTTCAACTGCGTTTCTTCTTTAATTAGATCACTTGCAATGTTTCTCTAGGAACTAAATCAAGTAGATTAAGTACAATTACAAAATCACCATCGTCATCGTAGTTTGCTCACTTTGTCAAGAACAAACATTTCTCAGTCCTTAATCCTAGGTTCAGAGCAAGTGGCAAAATATTGTTATAAACAGAAGAACTGCAACATATACAAGCTGGATTCGTGCCGAAAACCAATAAATAAACATAGAAGTTGTATTTACCAACTTTGTCTTTAAAAAGGACCAGTAAGATAAAGAGTATAGTATACAACCAGTTTGGAGAATAAACACTTGGGAGTTTCTTAAATAACATTTACAGTCTCCTTCAATATGACTAGCGGTTAATCGTTATAGTTTCTTGAGTTACTGCTATTACCTGGATAGATAAGTGGCTAATTCGTTTTCTGTTGCATTTTATAGCCAAAAAAGGAAATGCTAAAGGTTTTCAATCCCAAAAATGAACATGAAGAAAGGATCAGAGCACTTTTAAAGGCTGAACAGCAAGATACCTAATGATAAAAATTAACCCCTTAAATCAAGTTGTAAACGCCATGGCGGGAATTTTGTTTTTAATGAGACCCTCCAATTTTGTTGTTTTTCGTATAATTATGGTCTTTTAATGATTTTCTAAAACAATAACAGTTTCACTCACCAAAGGCGTGATAATGTTGATTAGTGTTTACAATGAAGAGCGCACATGTTGTTCTAGCGTAAATTTTAGAAGCTGTAGGACCTCTTGCTTTGATCGAACGGAGAATTATCAAATGGCTTGCAATTGTGAAACTAGAACAATAAAAAATTCAACTCTAGTGTCTCTCTGAGAACCAGACCAGTGTCGCCCAAATAGCTGTTAAGAAGCGATTACCCAGTGGTCCTTACAGTGATTTCGCAAGTCGCGAGCAGGATCTTCCGCTCGGTTCCTCTTTCTCCAACCAAATGAAAGCGAACTGACGATGGAGATACAAGATTTTCGCGTAGGAATTAGTTCCGAAGCTCCATGGCCCATACGTACTGTGGCCAGCCAGTTCTTCCTCGTTTTCTCTGCGTAGGATCGTGGTTTGACGCCGCAGGCTGTGAAAGTGAACGGTATAAGCAGGAACAAATTTGCGAGTGACGTGATTACGTCACTCCACGCAAAGCAAATAATGTTATATTCATGAACTTAAGACAATTATACTTACCATACTCAATTCTCTCTTTCGTTTCTCTCTTCCCTCATTCTGAAATGTTAAATCGGCTACAAATTGATGGTGGCTTCGCGCTGGTTTTCCATCGTTGCTTTCTTCAAGGACTTCCATTAGAAACTTGATGTAGCTTATCGCTAACCTCAGCGTTTTAATTTTCGATAGCTTTGTATCTGGAGGAACGTTAGGAATATGGTCGCGAAGTTCAGCAAATGCTGAGTTCATAGTCAGTGTACGCTTCCTCTCTTTTCGATTTGCTGAACCGCGAGGAACTTCTAACGAGTTAGCTTCATGAAATGAAGCTGTAGGTTGATGTTCTTCGCATGGCTCAACTTTAAGAGGTTTTGATTTCTCGTGTTCTTCCTTAGACGTCCTGTTCATCACGGCCTCAATTGAAATACGGGAAAGGTATGCGACGAAAATATGCTTCAAGGTTCAAGCTTAGCTTAACTGACACTGCAATCACCGAAGAATAGATTTTCAAAGTCGCATCAGTTGAAAATGATACCCAACTGTGAGTTAAACTGGCGGACGGAACTTTATCATCGCTTACCTAACACTTATCATCCAATTACAGCGCTCTAAAAACGTGGAATTAATGATAAGATTGATATGTGTGACAAAATTTATTGTAGATCACTCTTGGTGATCTAAAATGGTGATAAAATTTGACTGGAAAATACAACGGTGTTCTTTTTCTTTGTTTCAATGAAATAAGATAAAAAGCTTACTTGTTCAAGTACTTAAATTTCCTGGCCTTATCACTAACGGACTGAGACTCCTATCTATAAACAAACAAACAAATGAACATTAATTGATGTATTTCCTTGTCTTTAAATTTCCAGGACCGCCCTTCAATCATCAAATATTTTTAAAGTTTATCGTTGCAAGTTTTATGCACGTGTTGTCTTGAACTCATAACTTTACTTAATTCGTGATAGTTTTTAAAAAGGTTTATTTTCATAACATATCACACAAGGTGTCTTTTGTAGGTAAAAAAGTAGAACTTTATTTGTCTATTCCTGTTCAGTAATCGGTAAGTCCACAAGCGTAAATGGAAATTCCTTCGATGTTCTCCGCGCGCGCAGTGTCCGCAAGATTCTTTCGCGTGGCCTCTAATGATAAACACCTCCCTCTTAGAAGTGAGATTATTCAAAACCAAAAGTTCGAGGATTCGCTTAACATGGTCTCACCTCTAACAGCCTTTGACCCGAAACTATCTTTTTGCGCAATTCGCACAAATAGAAAATCCTTTGTCCGTATTATTTTAGACGCATGTCAATCATAAAACCAGTCATTCCGGAAACATTAATGACTTCCGGTCTGTGGATAAACACAAAGTATTTATAAGTCAATTAAGCATAGTGGATGGCGCAAATCCAGAATTCCTAGTGCTGCTGAGCATTATGCGGGCTATATTTACTTACACGCTAAGATAACGGATCTTGCCAGAGACCAAATAAAGCTAATGAAAAAATTAGGGGAAACATACATTACCACTGGAGATTAATTTGTCTCTATGTAGCTTTCCTTTAGACGTGAATCTCTTTGAAACCTTTTCCCTTCTCTTTCTGAGGTTTCTGAAATTTCGCCGGCCAGACGAGCTGAAAAACTTTGAAACACGAGCCTAAAAAAGCCAGCATTTTTAAACGATTGAATGCTTTCCTCTGGGCATTAATAAATGGATAAATTGAACTGACCATATAAAGTCAAACCGCAGATCTTCGAACCGGTTTTTTGCGCTGCAACGGAAAGGAGACATTTTTTAGTTAATGCATGATCTGAAAGAACTAGAATGTAAAATCTTAAGAGTCTTTATGTATTTCGACACCTATGCGTTTAAAGACATAAACCAATTTTTTGGTTTGAGGACGTAAAGTAATCTTCTCACACACATGCACACACACCTAGTTTATCTTGGCCCTAGGGAACTCTCATAGATACATGACAAAGAGGGTACATATTTTTTTCAAAATAATAATAAGAATAATAATTATTATTATTATAAGCATACGCAACTGTCAGTAACCTAGCAGAGTTTTCAATTTTAGAGTAACGAGTGCTCGTTGAATACAGCTTTGCACAGAAAAACATTTTCTTGCTGTTTAGGACTGGGAAAATTTGATCCTTTGAAAAAGAGTGATTTACACCGATACGGACTGAGAAGTTCTAGATCTCAGATAGTAAGATGAGAGCCATTATTAAAGTCGCCCTGGTACAGCACGATTCTGGCACCGATTTTAAAATCACATTGAACAGAATAGGTGAGGAGCGCAAAATTTTAGCACCTTTAACTTAGCACTAACAGAATCTCTCTCAACAAAAAAGGTTAAGATGTTAGAAGGGAGATTTGCTTGAAGTGTACGTATGTAAAAACTGTTGACCTTCACCTGTGAAAACGAAAAGCCAACTTGCCTGTTAGGAAGTACTGTTAATTGGGGCGCCTCGATCCCAATAAATCGTTTTCCATACCCACTCCCGCGGGCTATTATTGTACTCGGGCCAGTTTTTTACTCACCATAAAAAAATCAAGATATCCTATATCTGGAACGCAGCGACAGGAATGCCAAGAAAAGTGGGGCACTGTATCATGAATCTATTGACCGAACGTTTTACGTTGAGAGATGTTGTAACTCTTGTTTTTCGATTAAAGATTTAGCCAAAATGAATTTGAAGTTCTTTGAAAGGAAACTTAATAATTGCCCTCCTCGATTAAGAGCCCTCCGTCCAATAAGTGCCTCTTTCTCTTTTCATAAGTATATAATGCATCTTTTAGCCCTCTCTGGGCTTTTTTACAGACCGAAAGAAATGACACAGTAATTCAACCAGTGAAATCTTTATATCCTTTTATAGAATTTGACCTAAAGCCGGAAGGAGGTAAGCCTTCCCGAACGAAAGCCATTATAGGGAGGTCTCTCTCTCTCTCCCCTTGGGCTGACTGCCCCTCATTTGCCCCTCGTTTGTCGACCGATCTTTATCATGATGTCTTTGTATCACCATAAGACCTTATGATGGCCCTTATGATCAGAAGCAGAGCAGAGTATTGGACAAGTGCCAGATTTGTTTCCGGTCTCACGTTTTCCCGCCATTTCATAATAGTAACCAGGCCTTGAGGAGAGTGCGGTTAGCGGTTAACGCCTGGGAGATAGTTGCAGTCAGCCATGTTGGAGCCAATTTTGGATGTTTTGTCCTCACAAAGAATTATCCTTGCGAGTAGTTCTCCAAGAAGAAGTGAAATCCTTCGAAAAATTGTAAGTTCTTTAGATCCTTGGATAGTTTTATAATGATTTTCTAAAACAATAACAGTTTCACTCACCAAAGGCGTGATAATGTTGATTAGTGTTTACAATGAAGAGCGCACATGTTGTTCTAGCGTAAATTTTAGAAGCTGTAGGACCTCTTGCTTTGATCGCACGGAGAATTATCAAATGGCTTGCAATTGTGAAACTAGAACAATAAAAAATTCAACTCTAGTGTCTCTCTGAGAACCAGACCAGTGTCGCCCAAATAGCTGTTAAGAAGCGATTACCCAGTAGTCCTTACAGTGATTTCGCAAGTCGCGAGCAGGATCTTCCGCTCGGTTCCTCTTTCTCCAACCAAATGAAAGCGAACTGACGATGGAGATACAAGATTTTCGCGTAGGAATTAGTTCCGAAGCTCCATGGCCCATACGTACTGTGGCCAGCCAGTTCTTCCTCGTTTTCTCTGCGTAGGATCGTGGTTTGACGCCGCAGGCTGTGAAAGTGAACGGTATAAGCAGGAACAAATTTGCGAGTGACGTGATTACGTCACTCCACGCAAAGCAAATAATGTTATATTCATGAACTTAAGACAATTATACTTACCATACTCAATTCTCTCTTTCGTTTCTCTCTTCCCTCATTCTGAAATGTTAAATCGGCTACAAATTGATGGTGGCTTCGCGCTGGTTTTCCATCGTTGCTTTCTTCAAGGACTTCCATTAGAAACTTGATGTAGCTTATCGCTAACCTCAGCGTTTTAATTTTCGATAGCTTTGTATCTGGAGGAACGTTAGGAATATGGTCGCGAAGTTCAGCAAATGCTGAGTTCATAGTCAGTGTACGCTTCCTCTCTTTTCGATTTGCTGAACCGCGAGGAACTTCTAACGAGTTAGCTTCATGAAATGAAGCTGTAGGTTGATGTTCTTCGCGTGGCTCAACTTTAAGAGGTTTTGATTTCTCGTGTTCTTCCTTAGACGTCCTGTTCATCACGGCCTCAATTGAAATTCGGGAAAGGTATGCGGCGAAAATATGCTTCAAGGTTCAAGCTTAGCTTAACTGACACTGCAATCACCGAAGAATAGATTTTCAAAGTCGCATCAGTTGAAAATGATACCCAACTGTGAGTTAAACTGGCGGACGGAACTTTATCATCGCTTACCTAACACTTATCATCCAATTACAGCGCTCTAAAAACGTGGAATTAATGATAAGATTGATATGTGTGACAAAATTTGATTGTAGATCACTCTTGGTGATCTAAAATGGTGATAAAATTTGACTGGAAAATACAACGGTGTTCTCTTTCTTTGTTTCAATAAAAAGATAAAAAGCTTACTTGTTCAAGTACTTAAATTTCCTGGCCTTATCACTAACGGACTGAGACTCCTATCTATAAACAAACAAACAAATGAACATTAATTGATGTATTTCCTTGTCTTTAAATTTCCAGGACCGCCCTTCAATCATCAAATATATTTAAAGTTTATCGTTGCAAGTTTTATGCGCGTGTTGTCTTGAACTCATAACTTTACTTAATTCGTGATAGTTTTTGAAAAGGCTTTCTTTTCATAACGTATCACACAAGATGTCTTTTGTAGGTAAAAAAAGAACTTTATTCGTCTATCCCTGTTCAGCAATCGGTCAGTCTACAGGCGTAAATGGAAATTCCTTCGATGCTCTCCGCGCGCGCAATGTCCGCAAGATTCTTTGCGTGGCCTCTAATGATAAACACCTCCCTCTTAGAAGTGAGATTATTCAAAACCAAAAGTTCGAGGATTCGGTTAGCATGGTCTCACCTCTAACAGCCCTTGACCCGAAACTATCTTTTTGCGCAATTCGCACAAATAGAAAATCCTTTGTCCGTATTATTTTAGACGCATGTCAATCATAAAACCAGTCATTCCGGAAACATTAATGACTTCCGGTCTGTGGATAAACACAAAGTATTTATAAGTCAATTAAGCACAGTGGATGGCGCAAATCCAGAATTCCTAGTGCTGCTGAGCATTATGTGGGCCATATTTACTTACACGCTAAGATAACGGATCTTGCCAGAGACCAAATAAAGCTAATGAAAAAATTAGGGGAAACATACATTACCATTGGAGATTAATTTGTCTCTATGTAGCTTTCCTTTAGACGTGAATCTCTTTGAAACCTTTTCCCTTCTCTTTCTGAGGTTTCTGAAATTTCGCCGGCCAGACGAGCTGAAAAACTTTGAAACACGAGCCTCAAAAAGGCAGCATTTTTAAACGATTGAATGCTTTCCTCTGGGTATTAATAAATGGATAAATTGAACTGACCATGTAAAGTCAAACCGCAGATCTTCGAACCGGTTTTTTGCGCAGCAACGGAAAGGAGACATTTTTTAGTTAATGCATGATCTGAAAGAGGCTAGAATGTAAAATCTTAAGAGTCTTTATGTATTTCGACACCTATGCGTTTAAAGACATAAACCAATTTTTTGGTTTGAGGACGTAAAGTAATCTTCTCACACACATGCACACACACCTAGTTTATCTTGGCCCTAGGGAACTCTCATAGATACATGACAAAGAGGGTACATATTTTTTTTCAAAATAATAATGATAATAATAATTTTTATTATTATTATAAGCATACGCAACTGTCAGTAACCTAGCAGAGTTTTCAATTTTAGAGTAACGAGTGCTCGTTGAATACAGCTTTGCACAGAAAAACATTTTCTTGCTGTTTAGGACTGGGAAAATTTGATCCTTTGAAAAAGAGTGATTTACACCGATACGGACTGAGAAGTTCTAGATCTCAGATAGTAAGATGAGAGCCATTATTAAAGTCGCCCTGGTACAGCACGATTCTGGCACCGATTTTAAAATCACATTGAACAGAATAGGTGAGGAGCGCAAAATTTTAGCACCTTTAACTTAGCACTAACAGAATCTCTCTCAACAAAAAAGGTTAAGATGTTAGAAGGGAGATTTGCTTGAAGTGTACGTATGTAAAAACTGTTGACCTTCACCTGTGAAAACGAAAAGCCAACTTGCCTGTTAGGAAGTACTGTTAATTGGGGCGCCTCGATCCCAATAAATCGTTTTCCATACCCACTCCCGCGGGCTATTATTGTACTCGGGCCAGTTTTTTACTCACCATAAAAAAATCAAGATATCCTATATCTGGAACGCAGCGACAGGAATGCCAAGAAAAGTGGGGCACTGTATCATGAATCTATTGACCGAACGTTTTACGTTGAGAGATGTTGTAACTCTTGTTTTTCGATTAAAGATTTAGCCAAAATGAATTTGAAGTTCTTTGAAAGGAAACTTAATAATTGCCCTCCTCGATTAAGAGCCCTCCGTCCAATAAGTGCCTCTTTCTCTTTTCATAAGTATATAATGCATCTTTTAGCCCTCTCTGGGCTTTTTTACAGACCGAAAGAAATGACACAGTAATTCAACCAGTGAAATCTTTATATCCTTTTATAGAATTTGACCTAAAGCCGGAAGGAGGTAAGCCTTCCCGAACGAAAGCCATTATAGGGAGGTCTCTCTCTCTCTCCCCTTGGGCTGACTGCCCCTCATTTGCCCCTCGTTTGTCGACCGATCTTTATCATGATGTCTTTGTATCACCATAAGACCTTATGATGGCCCTTATGATCAGAAGCAGAGCAGAGTATTGGACAAGTGCCAGATTTGTTTCCGGTCTCACGTTTTCCCGCCATTTCATAATAGTAACCAGGCCTTGAGGAGAGTGCGGTTAGCGGTTAACGCCTGGGAGATAGTTGCAGTCAGCCATGTTGGAGCCAATTTTGGATGTTTTGTCCTCACAAAGAATTATCCTTGCGAGTAGTTCTCCAAGAAGAAGTGAAATCCTTCGAAAAATTGTAAGTTCTTTAGATCCTTGGATAGTTTTTGATATTTAACATCGTAATATTGTCACTGATATTAAACTGATAAAAAATGTTATAGGGACTGAAGTTTGATGTGATTCCATCAAACTTTGAGGAAAACCTAGACAAAAGTGCTTTTAAGCACCCTTATGAATATGTTTTGGAAAATTCAAGGCAAAAGGCTCTTGAGGTAGCTGTTCGTACAAACAAGGTAAGGCCTAATATTATTGTGAATCGAAAAACTTAAAAGACTCTACCTAAGGACGTTCTTGTTGTTGTTTCTTTTCTTCAAGTTTTCAATTGATTTGCTAGAATTTAATATAGTCTTATAATTGGTCATGCATGACATTATCTGGTTAGAGAATGTACTCTTGTAGCTGGCTGGGCTGGGAGAATGTGACTCCATTGAATTTTGACAGCTCTAGTCGTCCATATGTGAGAGTCTGATCAAGGCATAAGAGTTTTCAGTTTTGCATCTAAGAGACCTAAAGGGTTGAAAATTTTATTTAGGGGAACAAAGGGAAAACAGACTATTTTACAGTTGTGCGCTGAGTTTCTTGGCCTTGAGTGGATGCAAGGCTGGAAAGTGACTAAAAGTCGGTTTGATAGAAACCTAACTTTTTTTCAAAAAAATATTATAAATCAGGCTCTCAAGCATCTGAATGCCACTGAAGTTTATGTCAAACCAAATTCACCACCAGCCTTGCTTCCACTAAAAGGCTGAGCCACTTAGCACAAACAGTAATGGGGCCTTTGCTGGTCAGTCTGCAGCATGTTTCACCCTTGACCTTAGGCTATTTTGCATCCCGTGAGTGAGCAAAGAAGTCTTGGACTGGAACATGATAGGCAAATTCCCCCAACAACCTTGATGGGTGAAATCACATACAATCTTCATGGATATTACCGGGAACAGGGATTGGTTTTTTTAGCTGAGGTGGTGGGTACACTTCACCGTGTATGACAATAAAAATAATGCAGTTTATGATAATATTTTTTACCAATAATTATTAGGTTGACAAGGATAACTTGGTCATTGGAGCAGACACAGTCGTTGTAAGTATATTAATTATTTTTTCTCTTAATTAGTGATAATTTAACTGAATGTCTGGTTTAACATGAGTGAATTATTTAACAACTTTTTACAGGTTTTGAATGAAAAAATTCTGGAAAAACCCAAAGACAAAGAGAATGCTTATGAAATGTTAAAAAGGTGACCTATGATATTTTTGTGTATTTTTGTATCTAAGAGTACTTAACATTTAAGCCAGAACTAGCTGGCCAGAGCAGTTTAGTCAAATTGAAAATTCTACTATAACTAGGTCTAGCCAGCCAGCTTAGTCTGTTCCAAAACAGTGCACTAAGCTTTGACAGGATTTTAGCAAAAATTTTAAAATGAACAGTCCATTGAACCATTCTGACTTGGCAAGTGCCCTAAAGGTGATGATATACAGGACAATTAGCAGCGACGATTTTTAGCACAGTACAGCGTTGCAATGTTGGAACAATGTTGCAACTATTCGAAACAATGTTCCAACAATGTTGCAAGGTTGTGTTGGGCTAAAAATCATCGTTGCGAATCATCTCGTGTAACATCATTATAAGTCTTGGTGCTTGTGGAGGGCTGTCATTATAAAGATTTCAAATTGCCTTGAGTATAGGAAATTGAACTACTAGAGGGTTCTTTTGTTTTAATTATTTTGTTGCTTTTGTTTCCTATGAAAGTACACATGTAGCTGGGGTTCTTGCTCATTCTAGCTGGGGAAAATTCTTGGCCCCCAGCCCTTTATGACAGCCTTGCTCAGCGATGCATAAATATGGGGCATATTGCCATTTGTTGATATTCCTTTAAGCTGTCTTGTTTTGACCAGTTGACCAATCTCAATGTGAAAAGTGAGTAGTTAACACCAATGTTTAATATGATAACATCTAGATAGTCAGACTAGTCAGATGATCCACATAATAATACCTGTAGAACAAACTAAAACATCNTTCTCTTAATTAGTGATAATTTAACTGAATGTCTGGTTTAACATGAGTGAATTATTTAACAACTTTTTACAGGTTTTGAATGAAAAAATTCTGGAAAAACCCAAAGACAAAGAGAATGCTTATGAAATGTTGAAAAGGTGACCTATGATATTTTTGTGTATTTTTGTATCCAAGGGCACTCAAAATTTAAGCCAGAACTAGCTGGCCAGAGCAGTTCAGTCAAGTTGAAAATTTTAATATAATATTGGTCAGGTCTAGCCAGCCAGGTTAGTCTGTTCCTAAACAGTGCACTAAGCTTTGACAGGTTTTTAGCGAAAATTTTAAAATGAACAGTCCATTGAACACATTCTTGGCTCCCGGCCCTTTATCACAGCCTTGCTCAGCCATGCATAAATAGGGCCGGGCATGTTGCCATTTGTTGATTTTCCTTTAAGCTGTCTTGTTTTGACCAGTTAACCAATCTCAGTGTGAAAAGTGAGTAGTTAAAACCAATGTTTAATATGATAACATCTAGGTAGTCAGACTAGTCAGAAGATCTACATAATTATACCTGTAAAACAAACTAAAACATCTTAGCATTTTGATCAGTTGCACTAAAATCAATTTCATAACTTGAAAACTGAATTAAAATGTGTTCAACTTAAAGGCCACATCGTATTGCAAATTCTGTGTAAGTTGTGACTTTAGATAAATTATAACTAGATATCAGTGTATTTTAATTAGATTTTTGCTTGAAAATGTAGTCTACATGTAATATTAGATTTGCTTTTGTTTGACTCACAATGAGAGTTATTCTTACTGCATGACACCCATAAACATATGTAGTGCCCTTTAACTGAAACAGCAATCTGTAATACCCTCAACTTTTTGTAACAAACAAGCATATTTATAGTTTGAGTGGCAGGGACCATAAAGTGTTCAGTGGTGTTACCCTTGTGCAGAGAGACTTTAAAGGTTGGTTAATGAATTATATGGCATAATAAATGGTTTAAAGTAAGCATTTATGGTACATGTATCAAATACACAGTTGCAATGACTCAGTATCTGAACTTCTCAACTGCCTACTCCAGGTTTCAGATTCTCATGACTTTCTCAGGAAATCCTCCCTTGCAGTCCATTTCTGTTTCCAAATTTTTTCTTTCACTTCTCTTGACCATAGAATTACAGACCATCATGATTGCTCCTGGCCTCTGACGTCAACTAAATAACTCTCATCGATCCACATCTGTATTGAAGATTCTGCAAAGCTTTTTCAACTATACCAGTAGAGGTTTCTGAATTTAACAAGAGATAACTTTTTCCAATTGTAGATTTAAAAGATTCCAAAATCACCCAGTTTTATGAAGAAACATTAGTATCATTTGGAGAGTTAACAGATGATGTCATTCATGGCTACATTAAAACTGGAGAACCTATGTAAGTTGTGGATAATCTACAAGTGCCATTGTGTAGTGTCCTTTATCACGCCACACACATAATCTATAAATCTCTACAGTGATAATTCTGGTGAAAGGCTCTAATAATTATTAAGTATTGTAGGGTGAAAACTGCTTATTAAAACTTTAAAGCTAGTCACAGCTAATTACACTTATTTTAGAAGGCCAATGCAATATAGATTGTATTTATCGCATGAAAGCACATGTAGGATATGGAGTTGGAATGTCTTAATACACTGTAGAGTCTCTCTCTCACCCCATCCCAACTTCCAGTTCCTCTATTTTTGTTGAACACTTCAAGAGTACATGTACAGTTACTACTCCCCTTAGCATTTGCTGTTTGTAGTCCTTCATAAAAGTATCAGCTTCTGTTGCAGTCGACAATGTTTATACCCAGCTGATCAACCACCTGTAAAATTCTAGAAGATTTCTATGAATATCATTTTAATTAACATCAGAAATGTGCTATTTTTTTTCAGGGACAAAGCTGGATCATATCCTTTTATAAAGTGTGTGTTTTGTAGTCTGATCTGAAGTGCTATTTAAGAGTCTGACCTCTGCTAACCTTTGCTTTCACTCCCCAAATTAGTGTACCAGAAAAAAGTCTTATCTTAATTTCCTGAATCAGGATCAGGATTTTATGACCCAACGATGATCACATCAATGGGGTTCAAATGTATTTTCTTACAAATTTGTTCACTTGACTGTGTTTTTCCTTAACTTAACTTATTTATGGTATCCAGGGTATTGGTGGTACTCTTGTCAAGTCTATCCACGGAGACTACTTCAATGTCATGGGATTTCCATTACATCATTTCTGTCTTCAAATTAGAAAATTGTACTCTGATAAAATCAGCTGACAAAATAAACCTTGTTTTCATATTAAAGGAATCAATAACATTATTGTAATAAGTACTGTATACCAAGTCCTTTCCATTCCGGGTCAAAAATGGTGTTAGGTAATATGGTTGGTCATGATTGAGTAACCTGTTAAAATTTCCTTCACAGTCGTTATTATTAGGTCATCATGCAATGCATCTCCCCAGCATTGTGGCTGACTCTGATAACATCTGCAGAGGAGATTAAGTTGCCTGTGCCTTACACCTGGGCTTACATTGGGACGAAACTACGGCGGTGATGGCAACGGGAACGCCAAAAAGGCAATAAGTTTAATGAGCAAAACAACAACTTTGCACTTGCATCACACTTTCTTGTACATTTCTTTGCCACCCCTGCACAATTATAACGTGAAATGGCCAAATTTAAATAACCTTCACTTGAGAACGGGAACGGCAAGGCTATAAATTCTAGCATCTCTGTCTGAACTCGGGGGGGTCACCTCTTTTCAGCTCCAACATAAACTCCCTTCTTTTTAGTATCTGGGCAACTTGGTACAATCATGAAGAAGTTAAAGGATGCGAAGTCTATTTTTCAACGATGTTTTCATGGATGCACCATTGTCGGATTGTAAGGTCCCTATTGTGCACTGCAGCAGCCAAGGAAAAGGATGCACAGTCAAGTCTAATGCGAGGTATATTTATCAATGTCAGACAAGCTAGACAAGTTCTGCTTTGCTAAAAACTTTCTTTACATTTTGCAAAATGTTATATTTTTTGCTTTGCAAGAACTGCACGTGCAGTGTATGCAAGTTAATTTTATCAGAAGCTGATCATTGCACATGTAAATTGTGCAAAGAACAAACGATTTTGCAAAAGTCAGGTTTACATGAAGCACCACCTGAACAAGAATTTGAATAAAAATTGTGGAATTTTCTGCTTCGGACAATCCTCCTTGTTTGCTATTTGGATGATCCCAACTAGCTCCTTATCTAGAGACTACTTTTATTCTTTACTTCTAAAGGGCCTAGCAAGTTTTTTGACTATTTGAAGGCCTGGCTGACTTTTCATTTAGACATATCCTGAAAATTGTACCCATGACTAGTACGGACTGACCTCACCAACACTTTTACCTCTTAAGCTTTAGAGCTCAGCCCAACAGCGCATAGTTTATTACAAGTGGTAGAGTTATCGAAACAAACATTTGTAGGGCCGTGCCTACAGCTCTATGGGCTGGCTACGGCCCTACTTATTATGTAAAATAATGTATTTATTTGTCTCTTTTTTTTTTTCAATCCGTATCACGTGTAAATGGAGCTGAGTGAAAAAAATCTTGTTCTTGTTCCCACTTATTTCCTCCTTGTCCAAAGCCCCTCTTTTGCAAATTCTCCACCTCCTCTAATTTCTCACTTTGCTTTGTGCCGGGTTTTTGTGGCAGGTCTTGTGAGGTTGGCATAATTAACTAGGGCATTTTTCTCCAGACACTGGGCCCCTCCGTTCTGGTGCAGATCAAGCAGCCTCGTTTCCAGGGTCCCTTCCACCCTGGAAACGAGGGTTGGCAGATCAGTCAATCTGTCTACTTGAGATTAAGTGTGTTCATTCAAACGTCCCATTATTCTTTTGAATAAAATAAGAGATTAATAATTTTAAATTGAAAAGACAGGCTCCTGACAGGACCAATAACTGATAATCATTTGATGTGGTAAATTTATTCCTCTGTCAACAAAGTAATTTGATTTCCTAGTAAACACTCTTAAAGCACTAAACTCACTTTCAAAATTTTAAACTTCTACATAACTCCCGAGATCACATTTAGATCTTCATATTTTCCAGGCATGAGTCTTATTTGCAATTTTTGCTACATAGCAACTCGAATGATATTATCAAGAACTTCACTATTTTTCTGCAATCGGGGAATAAACTAATTTTTGTGATGTAAGATTTTAATGTAACAGGGTAATGACGTTTATTCTGCGGTTAACTGTATGAGTAGAAGCGTTTTTTAGAGAGAAAAACAGTGTAGTAGTTTGTCCCCTATGTTTGCTTTTGAGAAGAGTTGGACTTATCAAGATATATTCGACCGTAGAATTAATTGTTACACACTGAAAACAACACGCTGCGTCCGTCTTAACCAGTAACATGCTCAACCCATGGAGTTCAAGAAAAAAATGGAAAACTAACAGGGATAACCTTTAAGCCGGTTCGTTAACAGAGATTCTACAGTCAAATTAAAGTATAAGATCTTTGGATAAACGCGCGATATACGCCTTAAAAGAAAGTAAAAAAGCTCTGGAGTGCAAGACAGCGAGTCCATTGGAACATATTAGCGCGAACGGTCGTTTTCATGCAAACTTGAGCGAAGCTTTCTATAATATGTGTCCTTTCTGGAATGCAATTTAACTGGATATCTGGGGAAGTGAACACCAACAGTGAGCGAAACACCAAACGTGGCTTGGTGTGGAAGCTCATGAAACTTGTTGGTTTCGCGTAGAATTTCAATACATATGGTTATACCCCTATTAAACTCTCTTATATACATTATGACTTCATAAAAATCTCGCATGAATACAATATGTTACAATTTGAATTTTCCCTCTAAATTTGGATATGTTTCAAACGTAAGTATGTAAAAATACTCTTCTCCAGAGTTTGCAAAAAACTTATTCCTCCTTAGGCACGTATAAGTTAAATAGGCCTTGTCGCTTGGATTGGATGTTCTTTCCTGTTTTTCAGACCAAATCTGGGCAGTACTTCAGTAATGAGGTGATATCAGCCTACTTCATTAGGCACGTATAAGTTAAATAGGCCTTGTCGCTTGGATTGGATGTTCTTTCCTGTTTTTCAGACCAAATCTGGGCAGTACTTCAGTAATGAGGTGATATCAGCCGCCTTCATATCATTATGGTTTTCGTCAACTTGCATCTGAGGAGTCCTGCAACAAGGAAGAGTGAAGTCGGTTAGAAGGCGAACTAAAACACATTGTTGACCACCTACTCGTCGTTGGATTACAGCTAAGAAACCAAAAAATGCCTGCCACTCAAAACTTTACAGGTTACGCACCGACGACGGCAACAACAACGACAAGAAAAACAATAGCCTTCACAACCAAGGCAAGAACGGCACGCTTGTGATACACTTTTTGCCATCCTCTGGGGCGTTTTATAGAGCACCTGAACACCTGGCAACGGTGTTGCCTTTCTCTTTTCTAACTTGGTTGCGGTCTCTAACACAGTGAGTGTGCGCAACAGGACAGGAGAAAAAAGAGGACGGAAAAACGTTTGTGTGTGACAAACGTGACAGGGCTATTACTTGCATGTTTTTTAGTGATCTTCACTTAAATTAATGTTTTCTGGTCTTTTACAAAAAGATCTGGTGAAGGAGGGTGAAGTCTGGAGGAAACTTTTTCGAGACAATATTGTCACGCTTGTCAAACAAGGTTTGCCGTGTTCCAAAGCAAGGCGCACGTTCTAGTTTCATTTACACTTTCGTCGTTGTAGCTATGTACACTCCTTTGGAATAAGAGACTACACCGTCCCCTTCATTGTGAACGCGAAAAAAAAAACCTGGGGACGAGTTATGCTGGAATACATACGTCATCATCGCTTCGCCTGCGGATTGGTGAAATGACTCTTCGCCCGTTGTCGCTGTGATCAGAGACCAGTGGTGAAGACATGTCTTTTGGCTTTAGCCTCGCAAATTCACCACTGCTGAACGAAGTATGAAGTCTTTGGTCTGTGTTGCGAGAATAACGGCCCGTCAATGATTCCCCTGCAGAGAGTGGAAAAAAATGTGGCAAAAGAAAGTGGTAGAAAATGTTACATAGACTGGTTTCACCTACTGTTAATATTTCTTGGAGTTGATCCTTCTCGGAAACTGTTGCTTTGTCAGTGGGGGTGAAATGCGAGAACTTTCTTTCCCCCCCCCCCCCCCCCCCCCGGGAAAAAAAGGAAAAAGCGGGGCACAAACCAGGAAAAAAAAAAAAACCAAAAAAAGAGAACAACAAAAAAACCGCGTTGCTTGCTATAAAAAAAAACCCAACAACAACCTCTTAAATTAAAATATTTTTTGTTTTTATTTTTTTTTTTTTTGGTTTTCTTCTTTGGAGGAGTGGGAGGGAAAGGGGCCTCCCCCCCCCCCGGGGGGGTCCGGGGGGGGGGGGGGGG